TTGTACTAAGTTAATTATTTTTGGGCCTCTAATTAAAGTTGTAGAGCTCATTGAGATGAATCTAATAGTAGTTGAATTATTAAAATAGGCCTAGTGAATCATGAGTTATTTTTGAAAAATGTTTCACTGACTATGTAAACTTCTCTTTTAACAATAATATTGTTGAAAGAGAAGTTTACATAGTCAGTGAAACATTTTTCAAAGATAACTTGCGATTTACTAGGCCAATTTTTATGATTCAACCACCATTAGATTTTTTTTAATGAGCTCTACAACTTCAATTATAGGCTCAAAGGTGATTAACTTAGTATAAAAAAAGTTTTAAATAGAAGCATGCCATATTCAGAAAATCCTAATTTCTATATATAAATCATGTTACATTATACTATGAGCTCTCTCTGGTTGAATGGCGAATCACCAATTAATAGAGGTAATTTTCAGATATTGTGCTACCTTATCCAAAAGTATATCTTCTTGATTTTGTACTCTAAAAATACTTTCAAAAAATAAATTTTGTATTATTTTAGTAACTGTTGATGATATTTGTTGTACTGATTGATTATTGCTAGTATTATTAATATATTGTAAGTTCTTAAAATCATTTCTTAATTTTGTTTCAGCCTTTTCTTGTTTTCTATTTGTAAATACAGATATTTTTTTGGTTCAGAGGTTTAAAAGGGTAGCTACCAATCCAACTTTATAAAAATCATACCAATATTTATTCAAAGAGTTATAAATAGCAATTTTAAATTGTTTTTAAATTTGATTAAGATCAATCAGGTGGTGGTGAAGGAGCATATAAATAAGTGTCATTATAATTTTCTGAATCTAATAACATGTTTAATTAATTTGAAAGAAAGTTAAAAAATATATTTATCACAAAAGAATTTCACCAAGCAATTACAAAACTCACTAAAAAAAGCAAAAACCCCAATGATATACCTTATCCACAAGATCATAAAGACTCTACATGCTAAAATATAGAAACAAAGGTGTATACTCAATCAACAAAAACAATATGAAAAATTATTAATAGAAAACAGCAAACAAGTACAACCAAAAAGCACAAAATCCAACACTACCCAAAATTATCTCTCCAAACAAGTACTAAAAATTGCAAAGCAAAAACTTCACAAATGGTTAACACTCTACATTCAATATAACATACCTACTATACACATAACTGAGATAGAAATCTAAACAAAGCTTGTGCCTTCTTTTAGTAGAGTCTAGGCTTAAGATAAAGCAGCTTTAGATTCTTGCTTTCAAAGATAGTAATAGTAGTAAAATCATATCCATATATTTTTACTATATAAATTTCAAAACTAAACTATTAATAAAAAAAAAACAGACTCATACTCTATACTTCTCTATTTGGCAAACTCTTATCAA